ATGGTACTCATGAGACCTGAGACCACTCAGGAGTAGCTGAACTCCTCCTCTGTCTTGGACGAGAACGTCCTGGAAGACATGAACAAGCAGCGTCAGGCGCGCTTGGGTTCTGAGATTCTCAAGAACCCCAAGGATCCGGTGTATCCTTTGGTGACGGAGTATGCGGACGTGGTGAATAAACACCCACCGACCCAACTCCCACCGGATCGAGGCGTACGGCACGAGATTGATCTCGTGCCCGGCACAAAGTATAGTGTCACGAGGCAATGACCTATCCCGCGCGAACAGTGCGAGGTCATTGATGCCTTCTTCGCCGCGAAAGCGAAGGCAGGCATGGTGCGGGAGTCGAAATCCCCGCACTCGACGCCGACTTTCTGCGTTCGTAAGCCGAACGGAAAGTGGCGTCTGGTTCACGCTTATAACAAGCTGAACAACGCAACGGTGCCGGCCCAAACACCGATCCCACGAAAAGATGTGTTGTTGAACAACATGGCCGGGAGCGTACTGTACAGTGCGCTGGATTTGGTAGACGGATAGTACCAAATCCTGATGCGAGAGAGTGACATCCCGCTCACCGCGGTAAGCACTCCAAGCGGCATGCTTTGGGAGTGGCTCGTCATGCCGCAGGGCTTGTCTAACGCCCCGGCGACGTTCATCGCCTGGTGACGCAATTGTTCCGCCCTTTGCGTACCTTCGTACAGACGTACTTCGACGACATATGGTCCCTTAGGCGTGCCGAGGGAGGCAGAACCGAACAGGGGAGGGGACATTCGAGGAACACCTCCGTGGGAGTTTTGGGGAACGGGATGGCGAGGCGAAACAGTCTTTAGCCCAAACTTGGAACAAGTGCTTTTGCGCTTACCAGAGATTTAAAGTTTTGCGTTTGTGTCTTCAACAACGTGGGCTTCGGGGCTGACCCCGAACCAGGTTCCAGGACCCTTAGCAGCAGCGTGGCCGACGCCCCGATCCCAGAAGGATCTTCGAAAGTGGTTGGGCTTGGCCAACTACCTTCACAAGTACAGCGCTGGGTACGCGGGCTTCGCTAAGCCCTTGTCGAGCCTCCTTCAGAAGGACGTCGACTGGCGCTAGGAGCAAGAGCACCAGGATGCTTTTGACAGCATCAAGGCCAGTCTCCAAGAGGCCCCTGTCCTGGCCCTGCCGGACGAGACGAAGCCGTTTAGCGTCGTCTGCGATGCCTCCGATTACGCCATCGGATGTGCATTGCTGCAGGACGACACGGCTGGACATGAACGAGTTATCTCGTTCCAGTCCAGGCAGCTCAAAGCCGCCGAGAGGAACTACCCTGTCCACGACAAGGAGCTCCTGGCAATGAAATATGCCCTTGTGAAGTTTCGTGTTCACCTTCTGGGCTCGAGACCCTTCGTGATCTACACAGACCACGCATCCTTGAGGACGACGACTAAGTCGCCTCACCTCTCCCAAAGGATGGCGAGGTGGCTGTCCTTCTTCGCGGAGTACAACTTCCGCGTCGAGCACAAGCCGGGCAAGCTCAACGTGCTTGCGGACGCCCTCTCTCGGCGTCCTGACTATGAGTTGGCCCACATCACGCGGGTGACAACGGATCTATATGATCGGATACGCATGGCGTATCGAGACGATGAGGCTGTCGCGCCTATCGTCAAGTTCCTCATGGCAGGAACGAGCGCGAAGTCCGACTGGCTCTCGTCGCGACAGCTCTCACGGCTCCACCGATATTAGTTGAAGGATGGCCTCCTCTATTACCGAGTGGAGACCAGTGAACCTCCACGGGTGGTCGTACCCAACGACGAGGATCTGAAGCTCGATATCCTCGCGGAGGCGCACGACGCGCCCCCCAGCGGCCACTTGGGCCGCGAGAAGACCTTTCTGTCGGTCTCTCAGTCCTTCTGGTGGACCCACATGTACAAGTGGGTCGCCCGGTACGTCAAGACATGTGAAACATGTCAGCGGGTTAAACCCGCAGGGCACTCTTCGGCTCCACTACAGAGCCTGCCCATACCGGCTGATTGTTGGAAGTCGATGAGTCTTGACTTCATCTTTGGGCTTCCCGCCGACGGACACGGCAACACCGGAATTTTGGTGTTCGTGTCGGCTGAGCAAGATGGTACATCTTGCTCCAGTTCCCGTCACTGTGACGGGCGAACAAACCGCAAGGTTGTTCGTCGATGGCGTGTTCCGCTATCACGGTCTCCCGGAGACGATTGTCTCGGACCGAGACCCGCGGTTCACTGCTGCGTTTTGGAAAACGCTGTTCCCTTTACTGATAAATTCGTCTGAAGATGTCCACTGTATACAACCTTGATCGATAGGTCTGGGTAATCTTGTGAATGCGCATCGTGCTAGGGATAGACTGTTGCAATTTCAGTCTTGAACGAGGAATTCCCTAGTAAACGCAAGTCATCAGCTTGCATTGATTACGTCCCCTGCCCTTTGTACACACCCGCCCGTCGCACCTACCGATTGAATGACCTCGGTGAAAAATTGGGACCGTGAGTCTGTTTGCTTTATTGCGAGTGGATTGATGGGAACTTTTTTAAACCTCGCCATTTAGAGGAAGGTGAAGTCGTAACAAGGTTTCCGTAGGTGAACCTGCGGAAGGATCATTACCACACCTAAAAACTTTCCACGTGAACCGTTTCAACCCAATAGTTGGGGGTCTTACTTGGCGGCGGCTGCTGGCTTTATTGCTGGCGGCTACTGCTGGGCGAGCCCTATCAAAAGGCGAGCGTTTGGACTTCGGTCTGAGCTAGTAGCTTTTTTATTTTAAACCCTTTACTTAATACTGATTATACTGTGGGGACGAAAGTCTCTGCTTTTAACTAGATAGCAACTTTCAGCAGTGGATGTCTAGGCTCGCACATCGATGAAGAACGCTGCGAACTGCGATACGTAATGCCGTGCTGGTGCAGGTTACATAGTGCACTGTCGCTGTAAATGTCACGCTTGTAGGCCATGCTCTAACGGAAAGGTGTACGTATCGCGATGATGGTCCGTGTAGAGTCGTACAGTGATTCGACACGCACCCCGT